TAACTTTGAAACGTTGATCAAATTTTATAAATCGATTTATAGTAATAAAATTCTGCATTAAATGAATATTAGTAGAAGGCGAATGTTAATTAGCGAACGTGCGGAAATATAATTGGTTGAAAGTTGAACGGGCTGACTGGCGAAAATTATTTGTGCACCGCAGTGCGGAGGCTCGCACATTCCATTCGTATTAATATTTATAAATAAAGCGTGAAACACGTTAATAGAAGATGAAATCGATTTGATCGTATTTCTACGTAACATAGAAGATAAATAGTTATAATAATGCGTGTGATATACTGTTGTATAAGTTTATTAGCAGTGTTACTGTCGATAGCTCGTGGGGTTAGTACACTCACGGATCCATAATGCAATTCGTAAATATTCCAGCACGTTTCACAAATCATCTAATTTTCAGAGTGAGCTAGACTACGACGGCTGGCTGCAGTTACGATTATGGCACGCGTTTAATGATGAGCCGGAGCCCATTTTTATAGAAAGGGGCAACATCACTGTATCCAGCGTTCGCAGCGGTGCCTCTGTCGTCGGGCAAAATGGATTGTTACCAGCTCATATAAAGGAGCTAATAAATCTTGCCAAAAACGATGGCAAGTATAGGTTGAAAACAGTAGCTCGGACATCTTCAGGGAGTGAAATAACATTTCTAACTTCGATACCTGCGGTAAGTGTACATAGTTTCAACAAAACCTCTGAATGTATGAAAAAATTAGATACAAGACATGTAAAAGTTCTTTAACTTATCTTGCTATTAGTAGATCGATGTATGCTCTGCACTGTATGCTCTGTGTACTTATAAATAATTATCTTTACTTTGTTCACAGTGCTATCTCCTTGGCTCCGATTTAGAAGATTCTATAACAATTTGGTTGGATAGTGCTGCAGAGCCGATAGCAGTCAGTATATCGTCACCCGGGCCTTGCAGCACGGAGGCCCCGTTTACAAACATGTGGACAACAACAAACGTTAACGTGAAATATCCCGATGGCGGACCAGTCCCAGACACTGCTACGTATATTCAGAAACTTGAACGGGAGAGAGAAGCAAGGGAGAGAGGAGAGGCCAAAGATAATAGATCTTTCCTTGCAAGATATGTGAGTTTTTATTTTAAATTTTAATAATTATTGAGATTTAATTATGAGAAATATTTATTTAAACGTCGTCGTTATTTTTACAGTGGATGTACATTGTTCCTGCATTGATCTTTGTTGTCTTGTCATCCGCGACGAATCCAGAAGCTGGAGGAGCGGCCGGTGGCAGTGCCCAAAGACAGTAATCCAGAGTGCATGTGATGTCTCAGAGAGTGCATGTGCGAAGACTGTTTATTTATGAAACATACAGCATACTTTTAAATACAATTGTAAAAACCTTCATTGTATCTTCGCCTGAATGAATTATATGATTTAATTAAATTTTCTAATTTGAAACCCTGAACACCCTATGACACTTCGATCTATTCCAATATGTTACTGTGGGTCCAATTATTCTGTCTCCCAGAGAAGAACTGAACCAAATTATTTTAAATAAAACAAATTATCATTAAATTGATCAAAACAGTTTATTACTTAACGTTATATTTATTTATAGATATTTTTTTATTAAAGAATATTTATTTATTGGAATAGAATTGAGGCCGAACTAAAGGAAGTGGAGAACCGGATTTGGCCCGCTGGTCAGTGTTACCCTTAAAAAAGGGAAAGTATATATCAAACTTCGAAGACAGCAGGAAAGAGTAACGGAGAGTGAAAAGGCCCCTCAGGCCCTTGACGATAGAAACTAATCAGTAGACTGAGGATTTTTATACAAATTAAAATCAATCATTATATTAATGTAATTTGTATAAATTCCATCATTAATTCGAATTTCTCCCAATTTACGTAAGCTAATTAAATAATTTTAATTTTTAATTAATCGAATAAGAAATCCAATATTAGTTGCCAGTTCAATTAAATTAAAGATTTAATAATTCAGTTCCAACCCCGGTAGAAAGTTAAAATAGAAATACAGAAAAGTGAAGACCTAAAAGTAGAATAGTAACCATTCGCCGCATTATGTTACAAAGTTTCAAAGTTCGAAGGCAATTAGAATTATCCACAAAGTATACTTAAATCAGGTAAAGTTCACAGTTGAGCTGGAGATCAATAATCCACTAGCCATTGAACCACAAACGGTTGCTACCATACATTGGATCAGAGTATGCTTCACCACCCGGGGTGGCCGTAACATGGCAGCGTTTTCTTTGAATATTCAGAAACACGTGGAGCCCGGGCTTGTGGCTTGCGGGAAATTTGACGGGTCCCACACTTGTTTAGTGGTCGCTACGTACGGCGGAAATGTTTTAGTGCACAGTCCTCACAGGCAGCCGCAGATAACTAGTCACGATCATGAACAGTCCGATAGAAAATTGTCTTGGAGCGGAGAACTCGCAGAACTTCATATAGGGACCGAGGTAGATCAAATGTAACAATTTAATTGAGAGCTTTAGAGGCATTATCGTTACCTGTACTACTAGGTCACAGCATTACACGCTGGCCGACTTACCGACGATGAAAGAGACATCCTCTTAATTGGAACCGCGACGCATGTTCTGGCGTATAACATAGAAGACAACTCTGATATTTTTTATAAGGAGGTACTATGATCGGATCGAATAAATTTTATTCAGAAAGAAGATTGAATTGTTTTATTAGATGTCCGATGGGGCGAGATGCATCACCATCGGCAAATTGGGTTGGATCCCCAATCAAGTAGCAATCGTTGGTGGCAATTGTTCTATAACAATTTTAGACTCGCAAGGCACAGAAATATTATGGACCGTGGTAGGTGGTACTGTCAGCTGTCTGGTCGTCTTCGATTTCGATGGCGATAACGAGAACGAGGTAAAAATTATAATCGAAGAAAACGATTCACTCTTAAAATCCGACAAAACTGATATAAAAATGTTTAGCTGGTCATTGGGACGAAGGATTTTGAGATAAAAGTTTACAAAGAGGACAACATAATCTGGGATACCAAAGAAACAGCTTCGATTACCACTTTAACTGGACTTCCTAATCGTAGATTCGTTTACTCCGTCGGAAATGGAACCCTTGGGGTGTACGAAATGACTCAGAGGCTGTGGCGCGTTAAGGTCACTTACCGGATCGATTGAGAGAAAAAATGACTTCATTTATCACATAAATAAGGGTTTTAATTAAATTTTTAGTCGAAGCACCGAGTGGTGGTCACGAGGAGCTTCGACTTGAACGGGGACGGAATCCCGGAAGTTATAACTGGATGGAACAATGGGAAGATGGATGCACGGTTGCTCAACAACGGTGAAGTAATTTTCAAGATTCAATTATCCGCTGGAGTAGCCGGCATCGTGGAAGCCGATTACAGGAGAATCGGGAAACTTGATTTAATCGTGGTTTCTTCTATCGGCGAAGGTAGAACAACTTTCTCCTCATCAACTTTTTTAAAAATCTCATTTAATACGTATTGTTATTAGTTCGCGGTTACGCCTCCGGTTCCACGATGGACACTCCGGAACCTGGAGAACCGATGCGCGATTTATTGGCCAAGAAACAAGTGTTGCAAATGGAACTTAGGCAGCGAGCTGCGTCTATCCCGAACATGTATCACGGGATGAAATTGGCTGTGAGCTTGTCAACGTCGATGGGCGCGGCTCGCATTGCCCTCGCTTCGGGACCTGGACTTCTTGTAAGTCGTTCAACTATTACGCGTCGTTTGCTCCATTTTATTTAATTTCTGAATAAATTTAGATTCACTGCGCGATAGTTTTCACCGAAGGAGTTTTCGAGGGTGAAACGTTCGTAGTTCATTCGAATAGACCCAAGGGGGAACTGACGATCGAACTACGTCCGCCTAAAAATGCCCCCGTGGATATACACGTGAAAGTGTGCGTTGGTCCGGCTGGCGCAGATTTACTACAGGTACAATTAAAAAAAAATATATAGAGTAGACTTGTGATCAGTGTCTACTTAGAAAAACGCATTTCCTATAATTAAAAAGAAATCAGACGTCGAAAGAACAATGCTAATAATAAATATCGACGTGCTAAAAAGTATAGAAGGAAATATCCAATTAATTATTGACTGTGTGTTTCATATATTATGTACGATATTATTTAATAATTATTTTTATATTTAGAATTTCACTCTTTGTATCTATTTTTGTATTTGCATTGGTATTTATTATTAAATAGTACGAAAACGAAGTAATCACAAATGGTGCATCTATCCATGTTTCTCGTAAGCTAATTTTTTTATTTACTTAAGGTATTCGAGATGACGCGTCAGCTGCCAAGATTTTGCATGTACCAGATGATCCAACGTCCTGCTACCATTCCAGACGATTTCGAGAAGATCGGCGTTACAGCTGAAGTAATCATTTGAATCTTTACTAATAGCACTTTATTAATAGTTTAAAATTGCTATGATAAAAATGAATCAGTTTGCAGAGAGGCCGCAAAGAATTGCTCTTTGGTTGAACCAGAGTCTTATTCTTGAGGAAGAGTTCGAAGTCAAGGAAGAAAGTTTGAACAACGGCCGTATTGAAATCTGGCTTCGCGGAATGAGAGACAACAAGGTTCACTGTTTCATGGCGGACGCAGCTGGCAGAGTTACCATACGGACGGAAGATTCCGCGTTCGCCGGTGACATTATACAATCGTTGGCCTTGTACTTGGGCCTCAGGGAGTTGGCTTCCGTGGTCTCCTTTCCAGCGGAAGAGAAGAGGCTGTTGGACTCCCTTGAGCGCGTCAAGGGTCAGTACTGCCCTTAGCATCGACTAAAAACACAGCCCCACACTTCTCATTACTTATTTCTAAGTTTCATAAAAAAAATGAATGTAATTATTTATTTATTACATTCATTTACACAATTATTAATTATATAACAATTTCTTAACGTATTTATTTTACGGTATGTCGAAAAATGATCTAATTTTATCCAATTTCTATTATCTATTAAATATAAGGTACTTTAAGCGAAGAAATAATTAATGATTTTGCACAAAACGAAAAAAGGATAATAAACTTTATGAAATAATTGTACTACAATTTTATTTAAACTTCTTAAATTGAAAAATGCGAAGCATGTACAGTAAAAGTCCTTGTATTATAATTACCTGTGTTTAATTATATATTTTTAACAGTAGGTATATGCATATACATATATATATTTTTGTCAGAGGCGAGTTTCCCCCTATCTCTAGAGGCGACTCTGACAAGAATAATGAAGAAGAAACCTTTTAACACTAGAATTATCGACTTTTTTTTATCCATGCATTTCTATATTCAAAATCAGCCATTTTGATTAGTATTAATAATTAATTAACTAGTTTTGTATGTATTATGATTTCAGAGCTGAAGGAAATTGATGCTCGACTACAAGCAGAAGCAGCCAATGAAACTTTATTGCTGAAGAACATTATAATTCGATTCGAAGACGCAAGGATTCTCGAGAATATCGATGAAATGAGACGAAGGCTTGTACAGCTGAAAAACGTGAACGTGGATTTAATTAGAGAACATGAGATCAGGATGAAGAGTTACCGAGAACTCACGGCAAATCTGAAGGAACTGAATCTTGGTGTTCAGCGAGCAGCTAGATTAAGGGGTGATTATTTCACTTTTTTCTTATTTTTGTTAAATGAAAGAGATTTCAAATTTTCTATTTCAGTTGGGAAAAGTGCCGCGAATACAGTAGCTCGCTGCAGGGCAGCGATTCAGGACGAGAATCCCAAAGCTCTCGCGCTTGCCATTAGAAATGGATGAATGTTGCAAGTTTTATTGTTACTCTCTTAGGAAAATTGACATTAATAAAATATGGTTTTTTTACTATTGCTTGTTAATTATAATACAATTTATGTATACATAGACATATGAGTGAACTGCGGAGTTTATGCACTTATACATACAACATTTCGATGAGGAAACAATATAAAAAATGCATGTAATAAAAAAGTAAATAATTCATGTGGACTTCGTTTTTTAAATTTATATAACAAACTTTTTTATTTAGCATAAAAATCCGCAGTCTACATATGAGAATAGATCGAGTACCCAAATAGGAGACTTGAGATTAGAGGATTGAGAAAAAGAAAATATATAAAAGGGTGTCTTTTTTCTACTTGTATGTGAGAGAGAGGGAGGGAGACAGAAGCTCCTCCAAAGCACGTTTTTCCTATTCTATACATGGTCAATAAAAAATTTCTCTTTCGTCGATGGTAACAACATAAAACATCATATTGTAGAATTTTACAAGTATTAAAATAATAAATTAATAGTTCTTAAAATCAGAACGCTTTAACTAGACTGCGGATTTTATGCATATATAAAATATATGTTCAATATATAAAAAATGCATGCAGTATGCAAAAGAGGAACATAAAATGTACGCACATCAATATTTTTAAAGGGTAACAGAATTCTAAATCTCATTTTTGAAATTGAGAACATGAATGTTTAATTTTGCATAAAAATCCGCAGACTAGCTGTAATAAAAACTGAGGACGAACGATTTAATATTTCGAGAAACACGAACAATAGTAATCGGCGTTTTACAGTAGAAATTCTAAAGAATTCAATCTCAATGAAGCGTTCCACGAACGGAAATGCTGAATCTCCTCTTGAGGGGGACTGGCGAAGGGCGCCGGAGGACGTTCAGGGTCCCGTCGGTGGATGCCCTCACCCTGAACGAACTTCCTTGCTGGCCAGAATTGCCCGGCAATTCCGTCAACAGTTTGAAGATGTCGGTGAAAACGGCCATGACCTGTCGAATAAAAATAATCGGACCAGTCCGCCGTTATCGTTACGTAACCCCGTGCGGGATTATCTATTCAGCCACTATGTCGAGTATTTTTTTTCACACAGTCTACGCTCGCCCGATACCGGTCGACACTATCGCGCGGTATTATCAACATTTTTCGCTCGCGACACGTGTATGATACATCTAACTTTATTCAAAACGATCTAAAAGACATCGCAACGCTATTTGCAATCAGGAATATTCAATAAAAAAAACCGTTCTTAAAATATAATTTGACGAATATCTTTGAAACTGTTGAAAATTAATTAATGGAGCAGGAATGGGAAATATTTTTCATATGAAAAAAGGCTCTATCCATTTTTCGATGCATGTGCCAATCTCTGTTGGCTTTACAATTTCTACTCGCTCGGTTATTTTTCTACAATTTTGTGTTATTTGAAAATTACCGAAAAATAAGCCAATGAATAGAATTTTACAATATTATAGAGAAATAAGTCAGTCAGTAGAAATCGTGACGCGAACAAAAGTTGTGAAATTTACCTTAATTGGAATCTGAGATTTGGGATAACTAATTGTGAAACAAATTTTGAATTACTGTTCGCTTCGCTGATAATATAAAGACGATCGTCCCGAGATGTCCGGGAAGGTCGATTATGTCGAGATGTATCGCCCGCATTCCGCTCGTTCCGTGATACAGATTTTGTTTACCACTCGGCGATCACGCATAAACGCCATGACCGGTTTCCCGGAGCGGTAAACAATCGCTTTAGAAAAATAACGGGACTTGCGATTAGTCTCGGTCGCGTGACCGATCGGAACAAAGCGGAACAATCGATTGGCCATATCCCCCACGATTATACAGTTCCTCCTAGAAGTTGTCGCATAACGAGGCCTGCAGCTACGATAGACTAAAAATAAGTGCGAACGTATATAATAAATCTGTCCATGATTAATACTAGACGGACTGTACGTAGATCGGTGATAGCAGAGATTTCCGATTCGCTCCGGTTCCGATCGGGCTTCCTTTCCCGGTGATCGATGACGTGGCGTTACGTCAACGATCGAAACGTCGTCGTCGCGGCGACGCGTCGGTCGCCTCGTCGTATATCGTATCGATAGGCCAAGCCTTACGAATATAATTCAGCTCATCGAGATATCGGCCCGTCTACCGAAGCTTTCGCGAAACGCGATGACGTAGTGTTGTGTCTGTGACCGTGGCGAATTTTAGAAAATCGCGCACGCGATTCCAAGCGACGTATGCATGTACAAAATAATTTCGTCGCGTGGACACCGATAACGGACGAGCGTCTTACATCCACTTTAATTCGAAGGATAACGAGCCGGTATATTCGCGGAATAAAAGATGCAACAGTTCGCATTCTTGGGAACGTTATACAACGAATGCAATTTCATTTCACAGCGTTTTATCTCGCGGCTGATCTAAATAACAGTTTACACGTGGCCTTTTCCTTAGTCCTAAGGTTAACAACGTCAATGTCAGCGTTACGTCAACAGTTTGCGATTTTATCGTGCGACAACATAACGCGATGTCAACGACTCCTGAATTTTCTAAACGCAGCTCAAAACGATTCGCGACCCATTCGATTACAATTTTTCCGGATCGGTTTATCTCCAAGTGAACATCACGTTAAATGCACAATTGTTGAACTATTAATTAATTAACAANTATTATCAATTACTTTTTAATCGCTGCATAGATATTGACGTTACCTGTTCGACGGATTCCCTGACGGAGATCTCGTGAAACGCGTGAGCCTCTATTTCCTCGGCCCTTTGATGCCCCTCGGCCGTGGAAACGACCCTCTCGCCGGGGATGTAAGTCAGGTCGGACTTATTCGCTATCAGCACCACTACAGGTGGCACCTTCCTAGCTTTCCTTGCGTGCGATACTAGAAATCTAGGAATACTAATTACAATTGTTTCTTATAAAACAGCACGTCACACGTAAACGCTGTGGAACAATTTCTCTGCCCATTGAAAATTATATTCCTGTGAAAATTGTTCCACGACTGCCTGGCTGCCTGACTGCTTAGTGTCCCTTTGACATTTCTTGTACGCTAAGCTTCCCTTTGATATTCATGCGATCTAATAATAGCACCGTTCATTATTATGTTCACACGTCGTTATGCAAATAATCTTCTTTCACGGTCAATAGCAACAGCTTGTCGTTAATAAAAAAAAGAAAAAAGAAAAATAGACACAATAGATAAATGGCGTTTTGATTGTTCAGGTGTTTGATTAATATTCTTACCGAAGACGAGACGTTTCGTCGAAACTGACGCGGTCCGAGACTGAATAAATGAGAATGATCACGTCTGCCCATCGTAATTTCAGTTCAGTCGGTGGTGGTAAATACCCTGGGGGATCGGTTATCTCCCAAGTCGCGTCCAGGAAGTTGTCCACTTTGTAAATCCTTTCGGTGGAGCTCTCGTACTCGCCTATGTATCGTTTCGTCGCAAATCGCACAGCCAGAGCTGTTAAAAGCGAACATTAATAATTTGCAATTCTACAAAATTGTATATTCAAAACTAAACCTACCATGACATAAATTCTTTAATAAGAAATAAAAATAAAATTTTGTCATCTTGTTAAAGTTGTAATTATTATTTTAAACGATACCAAACTGAAGTACCAATGCCAACACTAAATTGCACTCAACATAATAAAATATAAATATTCTATTATTAAATAAAATATATAAAAATATTATTAAATAATATCTATACAAAACCTATTGGTAGGTTTGTTATTAATTCATGCTGGATACGACAATACAAATTTGAATTTAAAATAAGTCGAGTGGAAAGGGTTAATACTTGACAGCATCCAATTGAATTGTTACCAGTTTTGCCGACACCCTGATGGCCCAACAGGATCACTTTAACGATCCTTGGATCCTTGCTGGTGAGGCCAAGATTCCAAGCGATCGGAGGGCTGATTCTTTTCTTCAACGACGCTGCCGGCGGACTGAACCTCTCCATGACTTAACGGCCACTGTTTTCCCTCCGCGGTGTCCCACCGATTATGAACCCTCTCTTTTACCCCATGATATTTAATAATAAGCTCGTTCATCATGCACGCATCCTTCGAGCTACCCTTGTCCCATCGCTGACCACTGGCTAGTAAACAAACGATCGATTACGTACGCCGCATTTTATAATTAATTTTTCCTTGTCGCTCATTTTTTTCCAGCTTATCAGTTATGGCGTAATTTATAGATAAACGAAATTATGTAAAAACGATACTTCAGAATGATTAGCCTGAATTTATCTAACGTCTGTTCTTCCGAAAATATCAAATATCTTTACACGTACGTGACGTTAAGAGGAGAACTATCGATCGGTTCAATGAATAATTATTGATCGTTCTTTTTTTTTTTAATTAATCGTTCCCAGTTATAGCGTCCTCGATTTTCTCGGGTAGCACCGGTGGCGCCAGGATTTCGAGCCAACACAAAGGTCGTTACACACGGTCCTAATCAAGATGCTTCGTATCAGTATCGCTGGGTCAAACGGCCGTATTTCGCAATTCGCGGCTCTACACTCCTGTATGGAATAAAACCGGGCATCGTGGCGACTGCATCCGTCTCGCCTCAGATTATATTATATTGTACACAACCTGGCTCCTACCAGACCGGCACGTGTCCAACGTTTGTTATTATGGTTACTTTTATGTAAGAGACGAGGGGACGACCGAGCTTTTATCGCTTTTGTTACGCCGTCGTCCCGCAACGGCGACCGTCCGTGACTCACCGCTTCCGTCCTCCCTCTGATTCCGCTTCAACCATTTCGATTTTGGCGTTTAGTATCGGATTACAAAGAAAACGCAGGAATACGGCAAATACAGAGAAGAACGATAACTAGGATCGGCGAACTTTCACGCGACGAACTGATAATCAATTATTTTTCAAGACACGCCAACTGGGAACTCTTTAATCTCCGATAATGTAAACTTTGGAATTTTGAGATACGTGCGTCATTCGCAAGGTCGTACAGTGGAGGAAATCGTTTTTTAAGGAGATAGCAGATATTGGAAACGGTATAAAAGAATTGGGCGATTAATGAGAGGACTCACACGTTCGCATTTCTTTTTAAATTTCTATAAATGACTTGATTCGCGGACTTTACGAAACGAGCACGTGATTCGATCTAACGATTAGCGATAAGTCAACATTTGATATCAATTATTCATTCACGACCTCTTGCGGAACTGAGTTCGTGCTAACTATACTTGTACTATTTCTCAACTCCTAATGTGATACACCTAAAAGATTTTTCTGTTTTAATTAATCTCTATTCATAAAATTGATATATGCATGCGAACTTATGTCAAAGAAAGGGATTTTGTTCAAATTTTAAAAGAATTTATTTATCAACTAGATACGTTTGCATTATAACTTAGTCACTGACAAGTTTTTATTGACGTAGGCACTTGGAAAATACGTTGTTGTTAAAAATATAATAGACTTCTGGCTTTCACATGAATAATTCCAAGTGTTTAGTCACAGTTAATTTTGCGATAGATCAGAGAAGAAATATTTACTAGTAAACAAACGATCGATTACGTACGCCGCATTTTATAATTAATTTTTCCTTGTCGCTCATTTTTTTCCAGCTTATCAGTTATGGCGTAATTTATAGATAAACGAAATTATGTAAAAACGATACTTCAGAATGATTAGCCTGAATTTATCTAACGTCTGTTCTTCCGAAAATATCAAATATCTTTACACGTACGTGACGTTAAGAGGAGAACTATCGATCGGTTCAATGAATAATTATTGATCGTTCTTTTTTTTTTTAATTAATCGTTCCCAGTTATAGCGTCCTCGATTTTCTCGGGTAGCACCGGTGGCGCCAGGATTTCGAGCCAACACAAAGGTCGTTACACACGGTCCTAATCAAGATGCTTCGTATCAGTATCGCTGGGTCAAACGGCCGTATTTCGCAATTCGCGGCTCTACACTCCTGTATGGAATAAAACCGGGCATCGTGGCGACTGCATCCGTCTCGCCTCAGATTATATTATATTGTACACAACCTGGCTCCTACCAGACCGGCACGTGTCCAACGTTTGTTATTATGGTTACTTTTATGTAAGAGACGAGGGGACGACCGAGCTTTTATCGCTTTTGTTACGCCGTCGTCCCGCAACGGCGACCGTCCGTGACTCACCGCTTCCGTCCTCCCTCTGATTCCGCTTCAACCATTTCGATTTTGGCGTTTAGTATCGGATTACAAAGAAAACGCAGGAATACGGCAAATACAGAGAAGAACGATAACTAGGATCGGCGAACTTTCACGCGACGAACTGATAATCAATTATTTTTCAAGACACGCCAACTGGGAACTCTTTAATCTCCGATAATGTAAACTTTGGAATTTTGAGATACGTGCGTCATTCGCAAGGTCGTACAGTGGAGGAAATCGTTTTTTAAGGAGATAGCAGATATTGGAAACGGTATAAAAGAATTGGGCGATTAATGAGAGGACTCACACGTTCGCATTTCTTTTTAAATTTCTATAAATGACTTGATTCGCGGACTTTACGAAACGAGCACGTGATTCGATCTAACGATTAGCGATAAGTCAACATTTGATATCAATTATTCATTCACGACCTCTTGCGGAACTGAGTTCGTGCTAACTATACTTGTACTATTTCTCAACTCCTAATGTGATACACCTAAAAGATTTTTCTGTTTTAATTAATCTCTATTCATAAAATTGATATATGCATGCGAACTTATGTCAAAGAAAGGGATTTTGTTCAAATTTTAAAAGAATTTATTTATCAACTAGATACGTTTGCATTATAACTTAGTCACTGACAAGTTTTTATTGACGTAGGCACTTGGAAAATACGTTGTTGTTAAAAATATAATAGACTTCTGGCTTTCACATGAATAATTCCAAGTGTTTAGTCACAGTTAATTTTGCGATAGATCAGAGAAGAAATATTTATAACAATTTTACATTTCATCAATTTACATATTTAAATTATTTTATTTATATTACATACAATTTCCTACGAAACAGAAAGATGAGTTATTCGAGGCTATCCAAACAGCACTTGATTTCACTAATAATAACGAGTATTTATAGAAGATAATGAAAGAAGTATTATAATAATGCACGATTGATACAGAAGCTTTGAAACAATTGAAAGAGATATAGTAATTATTAAATATAGTTGAACAAGTTTAATAATTATCAAGTTTTCATTTTAATTATGTTGG